CCCCCGCGCTCCGTCCCGGGGCCGAAGTGGGTCGCCTGCGTGTGCGGGTTCTTGATGGGCACGCTGCTGAAGTTCATCGGGCCCTTGGAGGCGTCGACTGCCAGGAAGCCAGAACACACACACACACACAGCTGGACTCACATGTGGACAACAATCAGAGGGCCACGCGCTGGGAATGAATGGGGCGCGCCTGGCCACGCAAGGGACGCACAATGGACATGCATGTGGCCACGCGTGTATCTGCCTCTGTCCCTGGCCAGCTGGTCAGTGTGTCTCCAGCTTCCGTGCGCTGTAAAGCCATCTCCACCCCCGTCAAGGAACCTTTGGGCCCCCCGACCCCCCGAAGCCGAATCTGGGATGCATACGCACGTTTAGCTCCGAGCCATTGCTTTAGATTCCCGGATTGGTCCGAGTAATGGAGGCGGCGGATCGCGCCGCATCGTCGACGCATCCGCGATACATCCTCGACGTCGGCGATGCATCGGTGAGGTCGACGCGGAGAACATCGATATCATCGGGCTCCACATCGAGCAGCGCCGCCGATGCATCGGCGATGCGGTGCGCTCCTCCGACTCCATCTACTCGGACCCCATATGGGATGCCTGGAGGGCCCTTGCTCTCAAGAGCTCTCTGGCTCCACCAGTCACGTGAGTCGGCGGCGAGCGGTAAGGTCTCGACCCGCTCCCTGGGACCAGTCTCTCGTCCCGAGTCGCTTCCTGACGGTCCCGAGGCCGGGCAAGGGCCCCCAAATGCCGACAGTGGTGAAAAACCTGCCGTCGTGATCTCTTCGTTGCTCGAGGGGGTCTGGGTCAGCTGGAGCCTTCGAGGGCGCCGGGGGCCGCTTCGAGGGGCCCTCCCGGAGGCCACGGTCCAAACATGTGGCAGGGGGGCCCCCCCTCGCCCCGCCGGAAGCCGGTGCGTGCTTGGCTGGTGGAGCCGTGCCGGGGCGCCCTGGAGGCGCTCCCCTTGGCTGCTTTTGAGGCCGCCTTGGGCCCCCCGACGCCCTCGGGAGGGGCACCCCCCCGGGCTCGCCTTAGGTCGGGCATGTCCTCCCACAGGGGGATTCTGGACGTAGAATAAGAAATCGCCGAGAAGAGTTCAAAACTGATCAACAATAGTCCAAGAATCCTCCCCAGACTAGTTCTCTGACTGGGACAAGCCCGGCATGGGGCTCGCCGCCGAGTGCGGGGGATTCTGCGCCTCCGACGTCATGATTTTTTCATGACGTCGACCCCCCAAGGTCTCGACCTATTCCCCCGGACCGCTTTCTCATCCCGAGCCGTTTTTTGACGCTCCCGAGGCCTGGTGAGGGCAACAAGAGGCTGAAAATGGCGAAAAACCTCCCGCCATGATTTTTCTAGAGCTCCCAACTTCGCGCTTCGTGCTCCGCGAAGCGCGCAGCGCGAATAACTTCGCGCTCTCGCGCCGCCCCCCCCCCCCCCTAAAGGGAGAAAAGGAGGACGAGGAGGAGGGGGAGAAGTAACGAGGCCCGCGAAGCACGAAGCGCGAATCCCTTCGCGCCCTCGTGGGAGCCCTTGATCTTTTCATCACTCGAGGGGGTCTGGGGTTATGTCGGGCGTGTCCCCCTACAGGGGGACGTTCGACGAAACAAATAAATATACCCCAAAAGTCATCCTAAAAGGTCAACAAAAAAAAACACCCCAAAAATGGTCCCCAGACTGTGTTTGGACTATTTTCTTGAATACAGTCGGGGGCTTGACCTAAGGAACCCAAAATACGGAACGAGGCCCCCTTTTTCCATGAGTTGAACTTCGATTTCCGATCGAAAACATAAGGAAAACCTGAGGCAAGTTGTGAAACACTTAAGGAACGCGGAGCCCCTCTCCAACGAAAAGGGTTCCTTCTGCAGGGCCCCGACTGCATTCTCCCTGCAGAGGGACAGGCCCGACTTCAGCCTGGGGAGCTTTATGCGCCCGTCTGCGTGCGCCCCGCCTCGCCGCCCGGGCGCGCCGCTCCCCCGCGGCGCCCGCGCCGCGCCGCGCGCGCGCGCGCGCGGGCGCCGGCGCGCGCGGGGCGCGCGGCGCGCCGCCGCCCCTCGCGAGGCAGCGCCAGCCGGGCGGGGGTCGCCGCGGACCGCGGGCACACGCAGGAGGAGGAGGAGGAGGAGGAGGAGGAGGTGGAGGAGGAGGAGGAGGAGGGGGAGGGGGAGGAGGCCCCCCTGGCGCCGCACTCGCAGGGTCGCCGCTGACCGCAGGCACACGCAGGCGTCCAGGGGCTCCCAAAACTTCGCGCTCTCGCGCTCTCGCTCTCGCGAAGCGCGAACGGCTGCGCGCTCTCGCGCCGCCCCCCAGGAGGGGGAGAAGAGGAGGAGGAGGAGGAGGAGGAGGAGGAGGAGGAGGAGGAGGAGGAGGAGGAGGAGGGGGGGGAAGGAATGGGGCCCGCGGAGCGCGAAGCGCGACCAACTTCGCGCCCTCGTGGGAGCCCTTGGTCATCGGCCCGACCTCAGGAACCATACATCACGAGCGAAGCCTGTTTTTTTTTTGCAGGAATAACACACGAGGAACGATAAACATAACGAGTAGCACGCAGGGAGCGATAGATAAGGAACGAAGCCCCTATCTTGTCCAAGGGGTATAACGCATGAGGAACGATCAATAATGAATAACGCATCAGGAACGTCAAATAAAAGACGCATGCAAGCCGAAGGAACGACAGAGCCCCCTTTGAAAAGCAAGTGCTCCTTATTTAAGCCGCTCACTGTACGATGAGAATCGGTGGTTCAAAGATGGGGTCCTGAGGGATGGGGTCCTAAGGACGCGGTGCCCCCAACCAGCGCAAATCCACCCTTCGACCCATTCCTATCCTCAGGACCCCATCTTTGAACCACCGAAAAACTCCTGGTACAAGAAGTCAAGGAGCACGTTTGTTCGTCGAGGTTCGAGCGTTCCGAGAGGCCTTGGGGCCCAGCCCCCTCGGGGCAGTGCCACCCACGGGGGTCGCCACTTACTTACAGCAGGCACATACGATGCAGTAGGGGCTCGACCACAAGAGACCTTCCACGAGAAACCCAAGCCTGGAACCCCAGGACGTTCATCGATTTTCGGCGTGGGAACGCCACGCCTCCCATGGCAAGACCATCGAACCCCAAGAAAAACCAGGACACCCCTGAGGCAAGCAGGGTGTTTCTTGGCATGGGCCCCCACTGTAAGAAGTCCCGGCGCAAGATGTCCAGGGGCACGTTGGCCGTCGAGGTTCGAGCTCGCCGAGAGGCCCCCCAGGGGCACTTGCGGACCCCCCGGGGCATATCTGGGAGGGGTCGCCGCTGCAGCCCGCGTGCTGCCAGAACCCCACAGACGCAGACCCCCTGCGCCGTGAACGAAATCACGGCGCACGGCTTCTGCTGTCGGCCACGGGAACCCTCGCCGGGCCCCGGGGGCCCTGGGACCGCGAAAGGTCGACTCGGGATGGAACACGCATCCTGCAACCCTCGTCAAAAGGAACCTCAAAAGTGTCTGACGTGGCTGAACTGTTTGTGGGCAGATACTGGGCAGGGTCGGTGACTGCGAGGTACTTGTATGCGCCGCCCCTCCAATGTCGGTCATCATCGAACTTCCGAGTCGTTCCCCGTCAGACCACTTTTGCCTTGGCCCCGACATTGGAGGGGCGTCTATCGACATTGAAGGGCGCGCCGACATCGCAGAGGCGTGGTCGCCATTTTTGAGGTTAATTTTGACGAGGGTAGTAGGGAATGGGTCGAGACCGCTGGGGGTCCACTTGGGACGCTCGAAATAGGTACGGAAAAATGCAACGATACTCGACAAGAAATGTTGTCCAAAATCAACAGCAGCCACTGTTGAGCAGACGGCCTTCTGTTTCAAAAAGAAAACGTCCGCGGCGACATCGACAACGAATCCTGTTCAAAACGATCCGGAAATGCTGTCGGTCTTCGTGCCCTTTCTTTCCGCACCCATTTCGATCGTACCGTTAGGTCGGGCATGTCCTCCTACAGGCCGATCTTCCACGAAAAACAAACCTACGCAAAATATAAAAAAACATGATTTTGCAAACAAATGCTCAACATATCGTCGCCAGACTAGCTTGTCTATTGTTGGGCATTCCTTCTGTAGAGGGACAGGCCCGACGTCATCGTACCGACCAACTGGTCCCGCATCTCCGACGCTACGATTGTGGATGCCATGACAATGGACACTCTAACAACCCTAGCATTGAACTAAATATGTGTTTGAAATGTGTAAAGCATGTTCCAAATATGTTTCAACTATGTTTTCGGACATGCTCACAAAATGTTTGAAACATATTTAAGACATCTGGAATTTATTTGGCAGCACGCTTCCTCTCCGTCAATCGACATCCACAACGCTGCGATCTGTTCCGACGCGGCGGGTGTTCCTTGCTCTTTCGTTGGGTGTCGTCGGCCTGAGAGTTATTTCAATCATGCGGTCCGCCTATGAGCTTCTATTCGCTTCTGCTAGCCTCTACCAGGTCTTGCCACGCCCCCCTATTCTTCCACCATTCCGCTGTGCGCCGATGCATCCTGCCCGACGCATCCAGCCCGAAAAAGCTTCGGCCCCTCTGGGCTCCGCTGCGCCCGTGGAGCCCCTAGAAGAGAGAGCCCCACGGAAGGGGCCCCGGGCGGACAGCCACAAGCTACGCCCGGGGAGGCGCGGCGGGACCTCTGGCTTGGACGTAAGTCGGGCCGGTCCCTCATACAGGGGGACATTCCACGAAAAGTAGAAAAGTACCCCAAGCATAATCCAAAAAGGTCAGAACAAAAAAAAAAAATCCCCGGACTATGTTTTAATATTTTTGAATTTCCCCCCTGTAGAGGGACAGGCCCGACCTGACTCTGGTTTGGACGCCCGAAATGGGCACGGAAAGAATGGGTAGAATGCCCAACAACAAATGTTGTCCCAAACCAACAGCGGCCGCTGTTGGGCAGGCGGCCGTCTGTCTGAAGTGGACACAGGCCGCGGCGGCACGGGCAGCGAGAGTCCTGTCCAAAACGAACAGGAGCTGCTGGCATTGTACCCATTCTTTCCGTGCACATTTCGTTCGTGCCAATCTGGGGCCACGGCATTTAAAGAATCAGACCGGCGGCGGTCAGGAGCCCGGTTTCTTATTCTTCGCGATCACGGGCGGGATCGGGGGAGGGGGGGGGGGGGGAATCGCCCCCCCCCCCCCCCCCCCGATCACATCACGGCCCGGAAATCTTACGAAATCCTCGAAGATCCCGTAGGGTTTCTTCGCAACAGTGGGCAAAGTAGCGTGAAGTGATGAGGAGGGGGGGAGGGAAGGAGAGTGCCGATCACAGCCGTTGTCGTCCAGACCTGAAAAAAACAGGCTCCAGGGGTCATCGTGCTACCAGAGGGGGCCGTTGGACAGGGAGCCAGGAGGCATCTCCTGGCTCCTGGCTCTCTGCACAGCGGGACGGGGTTGGATGTGTCGGCATCGAATCGGGAGATGGGCTTGGGTCGAAAGCTATGTCGGCTCGTGGGCCACCACCACGGTAAATACGGACGACGAGAAATCCTGCTCTACAATATTCAGGGGCGCCTTCGACAACGATCTCTGAACTTCGTGTGCCCCAGGGCCACCGGAGGGATTAAAACACATCCGTGGGACACCTGCTGGCAGCCCAAAGATTTTTTATTTTGACGCGCGATCCGCCATCGGCAGGGCAAGATGACTCAACACCGAGTCGGAGATGCACGGTTTCCCCCCGGGCCGTAGGCTACCCGAGGAGGAGGAGGAGGAGGAGGAGGAGGAGGAGGAGGAGGAGGAGGAGGACGAGGTGGAGGAGGAGGAGGAGGAGGAGGAGGAGGAGCGGAGAAGGAGGTGGAGAGGGAGGAGGAGGGTGGAGGAGGAAGAGGAGGAGGAGGAGGAGGAGGAGGAGGAGAAAGAGAAAGAGGAGGAGGGAGGAGGAGGAGGAGGAGGAGGAGGAGGAGGAGGTGGAGGAGGAGAAAGGAGGAGGAGGAGGAGGAGGAGGAGGAGGACTAGGAGGAGGAGGAGGGAGGAGGCGGGAGGAGGAGGACGAGGAGGAGGAGGAGGGAGGAGGAGGAGGAGGAGGAGGAGGAGGAGGAGAACGGGTCGCCCAAGCCCTTCGGAGAAACCCTCCAGTCGGAGAGTAAGGTCGGATCATAATGTGTCGGACAGGACCACCTCGGCCGGAGTCGAGATCGATCTGGGCCAGCCGCAGCCCAGTGGCTTCTTATTTTGACGTGCCCTCCGCCATCGGCAGGGCAAGCTTAATCAACATCCAATCGGAGAAGAAGGCCAGATCGGAATGTGTCGGAACGGACCGCCTCGGCAAGGAGCCGAGATCGAACTGGACCAGCCGCGACTCGAGCGCCAAAGGCTTCGTCGAGCCTCAGCGACGACTAGCTAGGGTTTAGGTCGGGCATGTCCCCCTACAGGCGAATTTTGGGCGAAAAATCAAACATACTGAAAAATGTTCAAACAGCATAGAAAACAACAGAAAAAAAACGTCCCCTGACTATGTTTGGATTTTTTTGGGAATTTTCCTGCTGTAGAGGTACACGCCCGACTTATTAAGACTAGGTGCGCTGGCCTAGATCTTCGGAGCGGCCCCGGAAAGAGAGCCCCTCCCGAGCCAAAAAGTGACCTCTGCTTCGGCGCCTCGGCTATGGGGAGTCGTCATCTCCTCGAGGACGACGAAATTAGGGGAACGAAGAATAACACAAGCATAACAACTCGGAGGTCCGCGCGGATTTCTCGGAGCCGCGCTGGGACCGCCCTGGCGGCGCCTCCGGCGCCGCCCCTGGGCGCGCTCCGCGCGCCAGGGAGGGGAGTCCAGCGCCGATCCGAAAAATCCGCGACGGCCTCCCAATATTAATGTTTATGTCAGTCTTAGTTCCCCTAGAATTGAGCAGGGACCGACCGTCCCGGCGTTCCTATAGGCCTACCACGACATGTTCTCGGACCCCCCCAAACAAAAATGGTCAAACTACATAACCGATGGTCTTAGACCAGAAACCCGATGTGTTAAAACAGGACAGTCCCCACCAGAAATGTTCTAAGGACATTTCGTGGACACCATAGAAAGGGTTCTTAGAACATTGTTTGATAGGCCTATCGGCACGCCAGGACGCTTCGCCGCTACTCGGTAGAAGTCGCCTCGCCCCCTGAAATCGCCGAAGATCTCCTCGGCCCGCGACCCGCGAGCCCCAGGAGGATCCGGCGGCCCCCTACTAAGGGGCGGAGGAGGAGGAGGAGGAGGAGGAAGAAGAAGAAGAAGAATAAGGGGGAGGAGGAGGAGGAGGAGGAGGAGGAGGAGGAGGAGGAGGAGGAGGAGGAGAAGCAGGAGGAGGAGGAGAAGCAGGAGGAGGAGGAGGAGGAGGAGGAAGCGAGGGAGGGAGGGAGGGAGCGAGGAGGGAGAAGGAAGGAGGGAGGAGGAGGCCCCCAGAAATCGCCCCCAAATCTCCTAGGCCCGCGGCCCGCGAGGCCCAGGAGGATCGGCCGGACCCCTGGGGTGCCAGCTGGCGGCCCCCCCCCGCTGGCACTGCCCGGCGCCCCCTGCCTCTGGGAGCCACGCGCCCGGCTGCGGGCTGCGCGGAGTCGCGCGCGCGCGCTCCGAGGGCTTGAGATCCCTCCCTCCTCCGTCCGTCCGCCGCCCGCTCCTCATCCTCCCCCTCCGCCGCCTGCTCCTCCGCCTCCTCCCTCGACTCCCTCCTTCCTCCTCATCCCCTCCTCCTTCCCCCTCCTCCGCCGTCCCCCTCGTCCGCGGCCTCCTCCTCCTCCCTCGTCCTCCCCCTCCTCTCCTCCGCCTCCTCCTGCCCCTCCTCCTCTCCTCTCCTCTCCTCGCCTCCGCATTTGTCCTTCCTCCCTCCTCCTCCTCCCTCCATCCTCCCTCCTCCTCCTCCTCCTCCTCCTCGTCCTCCTCCTCCTCCTCCTCCTCTCCTCCTCCTCCCTCCTCCTTCCTCCTCCTCCTTCCTCCTCCCTCATCCTCCTCCTCCCCCCCTCTTCCTCCCCCTTCTCCTCCTCCCCCTCCTCCTCCTCCTAGTCCTCCTCCTCCTCCTCCTCCTAGTCCTCCTCCTCCTCCTCCTCCTCCTCCTCCCCCTCCTCCTCCTGGGAGCCCAGATCCTCGATCCTCCACCAGGTTGCCCAGGCATTAGCGGCGGGCACGAGCGAATATTTTCAGCTGGCTTCTGCCCCCCTCGAGGGCCTCCCTGGGGGGGGGCCCTCGGCAACACGGCTTGGTCCGCCCTGAAATTCTGGTCAGAACGCACTCCAGAGCGGGTCGGGGGGGGGAGGGAGGGGGGGCGATTTCCCAAGGCGCGTGGAGAAAATTGGCGGCGCACACAGAGGGGGAGGGGGGGGGGGAAGGGAAGGAAGACGGCGACGGGGGCGGTCAGGAGAACAGAAAGTGAGAAGGCGGAGGGAGAGGACGAGGAGGAACGGGAGGGGGAGGGAAGGAAAATGATGATGGGGGTGGTCAGGAGAAGGATCTGGATATACATATACGTATATCTCTATATATATATATGGAACACGGAGGAGAAGGCGATACGTAGAGAGAAAGAGAACGAGACAGAAAGAGAGAGAGAGAGAGCGAGAGACATGGACGTACACATCCTTAAGGCTTCGCACGCTCAAGCCACCGCGCGCGCTTTGCACGCGCTCGTGTTCTGCCTGTCGTGGAGCCCAAAGCACAGCGTGGAGAAAGAACCGAGCCCGTGCAAACGGGCACCGTGGGTTTCGAACCATGTCCCGGCGGCAAACCCAGGCGGCTCCCGCCGCCTCCTCGCCTCCCCTCGTGCTGCGGAGGAACGAAGCCGAGGACGCAGGGCCGGCCGAGGAAGAGGGAGGGGGGCACGGAGCAGGCGGGGTGGAGAAGGCAAGACCGGCTGCAGGGAGCAGGGGGCCAGAGAGGGACGGGGCAAGAGGCAGGAAGGGAAAGGGGCAGCTGCTGGCGGAAAAGATGTGGAGACGAACGATGGCGGAGGGAAGGCGAGGAGGCAAGATAATGATAGAGGAAGAGGAGGAGAACGGGACGGGACCCGTCACGCGGCAGTCTGCCCGAGGGCTCTCCGAGACACGGAGGCCCCTGAGATACGCTGTGGAGTCTCCTGAATTGCTTGGGAGCCTACGTAAAATATGTTTGGGCCTCCTGGGGCCTCTTGGGAAGCCACTTGGAGGCTTCCTCGGGGCCTCAGGGGGCCTCTTGGGAGCTTCTTGGAGGCCAGTTGGCGGTGTCCGACTCTTGGGGGCCTCTCTGGGGCTCTTTTGGGGCATCGTGGACCCTCTTGGGGAGCCTCTTGGCTTGTGCGGGGGCCCTTTGGGGGCGTCTTGGGCCACTCTTGGGCCCCCCTTTGCGTGCTCGTGGGCGGTCCTTTTTTTGTTGTTGCTCTTGTCGCCGAGGGGTACTCTTGCAGTGTCTCAGGCTATATGTGAACAAAAACTGTACCTTCGAGGGGCGATTCTGCCGACAGGGCGTGCCGACAGGACGATCCAGCCCCCCTGCAAGACAGATCCAAACATTTAAGAGGCGTTGAGATGCGATCGCGCCCAGGCCACAGCGGGACGCCGTCCGCACCCATCTTGCCAGAAGAATGCATGCAACGTAAGCATTTGAAGCGCATAAATGGTAGATTCGCAGGCCTGTCTTGCAGGGTCATGCTCCAAAGGCCGAGAGGCTGGGATTGGACTGCAGGGCGACCTGCAGGGCTGTCTTGCAGGTGCAGGGTCATGCTCCAAACTTCGAATGGTGCAAGGCCGCTGCACGACCTCAAGCTAGTGCGGGAGGCTCAAAGACCATCCTCAAAGGGAGGATCCACCACGCCTTGGAAGCTGACACCAAGGCTGCCCCGAATTCTGGTTCACCGCCGACGTTCCAAGCTACCCGAACCTGGGGCCCACAGAGTCGCACAAAAGAAAGGGAAGGACGGGAGAGGGAGGGGGGAACTGAGGGGATGCAACAGGGAGAGGGGAGCATACGGGGGGGAGGGGGGGGGAGGGCGAATGAGCAGGGCGCGGGCAACAGCGCCGACAGGCTGGCCCAAGCGGCTACGAGAGCGAATGGGTCAGAGAATAGCCCTACCACGCCTCTGCTCCATCGTCATCCTCGTCTTCCACGCCAACACCACCACACCCCCTGTCTGAGCGACGACCGTAAGGCTGGACTCCACCAGCACCCCGGACCGCAGTCAGATTCGGCAACACGGGCAAAGTACGTATGCGGATGCGTGTGGGTGTCTGACGTGACCTGATAGTCCAAAGGTCTCAATCCAAACCGCAGATGGGAAATGCTACGCCCACGCGAACCAGACCGTAAGTCCAAGCGAAGTGCCGACACGACGTCTCCAACGTCGTATGCTCTATTAATTTACATGCTGCGCGCCACCGTGCCTCTTGCACGTAATGGGCGGTCCACATGTTATCGGCGGCCCTGGTAGTCGAGCATGAGGGAAATCCAAGGCCCTCGATTTCTGGGCGCTCTCGGCCAGTTCAGGGCTCTCTAAATCTTCTTCGTCACCATCACCGCACAACCTGCCTGGATGCGAAGACGAGTCCGCACGTCGCAAGCTACTCTGAATCGCCCCGAGCTTGTGCACACCGACGGACGCCGTCTGTCAGCTCGAGGAGAAACAGAAGCAGCCTGTCTGAGCTGTGGCTGGGCTCGGCCCAGAGTGAAGAGTGGAAACCGAGTTCTGTGCAGCCTCTCGACTATCAGCTGCTGGAGATGCACTGTGCACTACAGCATGTGCCCGCGCCGTCCAACCGCGATTGAGAAACTCGACGACGCCAGACAATCGCAACGAAAATAAGCGCGCGCAGCCCCCGAACAAAAAGGCTGAAACAGAGCATCACTATGACGCGACGAGGTGGGACGAGAAATTCCATCCCACTGAGCAAGCGCAGCCGAATATGTCTGCATGTGCAACACGAGTGAAAGTGCAGCATGACGGGGTCCGTGCTAGATGAAGCAACTACTTCCGTCCGCTAAAGAGACGTACGAGAAAACGGCGCCGAAGCTCCACCATGACCGTTGAGGTAAAGTGCGTGCGCTGCTCCACAGCGTAGTACTGGCGCCACAGCTCCAATGCGCTGCTCCACAGCTGCTCTTGAGGGGAGCGGCGCCACAGCTCCACTCAGACCCACGTCTGGCGGATTCAGGCTGGGTGGTACCACCGGCCCTGCGACCTCAGAGCGGCCCGGCGTGCTGCCGAGGGCGACCTCGGCGGCATGGCCGGCGGGGCTGCCGGCGCCGCGGGCCTGAGCGCCCCACGGCGCAGCCCCCTGGCGGCGGCGCCAGCCCAGCCCCTGGGGACGCCTGCAGCGCCCCCCGCCGCTGGCGCCGCTGGCGCCGCGGCCGCCGCCGGCTCGCGGCGGCCCTCCTCGGCAGCCTGGCGCCGCTCCCTCGCGCCCACCTCCCAGGGCGAGCACCTCGGCCGCAGGGCAGCCGCGGCCCTCTGCTGCTCCCAGTACGCCTCGGAGCGCAGGCGCCTCGGGGGGGCCCCTCTCGGCGCCGGCGCAGCAGGCACCCTCCTGGTGGTCTGCGGTGCGGGCAGGCTCTGGGGTGCTGCCCGGAGCGCGCGCTCGAGGAGCACGGTCTCGTCGCCGCCCTCCGGCAGCACGGATCCGCCCCGGCTCCCCTCGCGCGCGTCGGCGTCCGCGGTGTCGCCGAAGGCGAGCAGCTCCGCGGACGGGCACCGCGTGGGGGCCGAGGCGATGCTCGCGGCCCCGCCCTTCCTGGGCTCGGCGCGGCTCCCCTCGCCGTCTCGGGCCATGGCACGGGGGCTGATCATGCTGGTGTCCTGCTGTTCTGTTGCTGTGCCGGCGCGCGTGGCAAGCGGCTTGAACCAAAATGGCTACGCAGGGTGCTCGTGGGCAGTCTTGGGCGCCTCTTTCGCCGCCTCGGGGCTCCCTTGGAGGCATCTTGGGCCGTCTTGGGGCGGTGTTTGGGGCCGTCTTGAACGCTGTTAGGCTAGAGGAAACGCATGTTCTAGAAATGCGCGTTTCTGTCAGGAATGGGAAGATGTTTGCCTCTTGTCTGGGAGCCGTCTTCGGGCCACTTCGGGGCATCACAGGCCGCGTTGACGCCGCCTTGCTGTCTGGGCGTCTGGAAGCCTACTTCGCCCGTCGTGGACTCCGCTGGAACTTATCTGGAAGCTCCCGGGGGCCCAGGGCATTTCTGGAGTCTGGGGGCGACCTGGGAGGCCCCGAGGCGGAGGGTGGACCGAAGTTCCACCAGCCGCCCCCCTCGTGTGCTGCGGCCCTGGCCCTCCCCTGGGCCCAGCTATGAGACATGCTGCAAGCACAGTTTTGCATAAATGTTTCAAGGTGAACGATTTCTTAGTCGGCGTTTCGACATTGGGCGGAAGGGGCGGGACCTGGAGTCTGGCTCTGGACCTCTGCTTAGTGCGACTGTTTACAGCAGTGCGTCCATTATGGGGGAGGCTCCACAGCTCCACCTGCCTGAAACAGGCACCCAAAACAGCCAAGATCTACTCCATAGTGGGTGGGGGGGGCTCGCGCCGATCGGCAAAACAATAAATAATTGATCCTGGCGATGGGGCCCAACCATATGCAGCTGTGGGTACCGCAATTGTGAATATCTTCTTCGGTGAAGCTCCCTATGGGGCCACGAAGCGCTGCACTGGGTGGAGGGGAACGCATGCGGGCGGTAGCACTGGGGCCGTCGGTGGATTTCCCTATGGGGCCACGCAACGCTGTACTGCGTGGGTGCAAATGCCAAATTGGGTGTGTGGGGTGCATGCAGGCGGTCCCACTGATGCCTTGGGTTGAGCTCCCTATGGGGCCACGAAGCGCTGTGCTGGGTGGGTGAAAACGCCAAATTGGATGCTTCCGGGACGCATGCGGACGGTGTCACTGGGTCCTTCGGTGGAGCTCCCAATGGGGCCACGAAGCGCTGTACTAGGTAGGTGAAAATGCCAAATTTGATGTTCCGGGGCGCGTGTGGACGGTCCCTCTGGGGGCTTCGGTGGAGCTCCCTATGGGACCACGAAGCGCTGTACTGGGTGGGCGAAAACGCCAAATTGGGCTTCCGGGGCGCATGCGGACGGTCCCGCTGGGGCCTTCGGTGGAGCTCCCTCTGGGGCCACGAAGCGCTGTACTGGGTGGATGGAAATGCCAAATTGGATGTTTCGGGACGCATGCGGACGGTCCCACTGGGATTAGGTCGGGCCTGTCCCCCTACAGGGGGATTTTGGAAAAATATAAAAAAATACTAAATAAATGACCCTTGCGACGTGCCCAACCCTTGCGCAATGCGGTGCATAAGTACATCAGGATTGCTACAACGGGGGCGATGACGTAACATGGACGCATGTGGTTTTGGGAGCAGCAATTGGAAGGCTCGCAGGCCCCCGATCAAGATATAAGGGCGTCGTAAGGGTTACTAACGCAGCCCCCCACAGGGACGGCGAGGTCTCGCTCAGGTTTCCGCGGTGCCTCACTCCGCTGGACCCGCCAGCAGCCCTCCGAGAAAAAAAAAAAAAAAAAAAAAAAAAAAAAAAATAAAAAAATAAAAAGAAAAAAGAACTTCAAAAATAAAAATGGCGACAGCCCCAGCGGACGCAGATCGCAAACCCACCAGGGGACGGCGAGGTCTCACTCAGATTCCCGCAGGTTCCTCACTCCGCTGGACCCGCCTGCAGCCCTCGAAAGTGGCGACAGTTTCGCAGATCGCGCCCCCCAGGGCGGCGAGGCCCGCTCTGATTCCGCGGGTTTTGCCCACTCCGCTAGATCCCCACGCAGCAGGCCCTCGAATAGTGGCACAGGTCGGCAGAATCGCAGCCCCGGGACGGCGAGGTCCCGCTCAGGTCCGTGCGGTGCCTCACTCCGCAGGACCCACCAGCAGCCCTCGAAAGTGGCGACATTTCGCAGATCGCAGCCCCCAGTGACAGCGAGGTCCCGCTCAGGTCCTCGCGGTGCTTCACCCCGCAGGCCCCACCAGCAGCCCCCGAAAGAGGGGCAATTTCGCAGATCGCAGCCCCCAGGGACGGCGAGGTCTAGTTTGGGTCCGCGCGGTGCCTCACCCCGCAGGACCCACCAGCAGCCCTCGAAAGTGGCACGACAATGTCGGCGAGATCCAGTCCCCCCAGGCGCGGCGGAGGTCCCCGCTCAGATCCGCGCGGTGCCTCACTCCGAGAGGACCCACAGCAGCCCTCGAAAGTGGCGGACAATTTCGCAGATCGCAGCCCCCCAGGGACGGCGAGGTCCCGCTCAGGTCCGCGCGGTGCCTCACTCCGCAGGACCCACCAGCAGCCCTCGAATGTGGCGACAATGTCGCAGATCGCAGCCCCCCAGGGACGGCGAGGTCCCGCTCAGGTCCGCGCGGTGCCTCACTCCGCAGGACTCGCCAGCAGCCCTCGAAAGTGGCGACAGCGACGCAGATCGCAACCCCCCAGGGACGGCGAGGTCTCACTCAGATCCCCGCGGTGCCTCACTCCGCTGGACCCGCCAGCAGCCCTCGAAAGTGGCGACTGTTTCGCAGATCGCAGCCCCCCAGGCACGGCGAGGTCCCGCTCAGGTCCGCGCGGTGCCTCACTCCGCAGGACCCACCAGCAGCCCTCGAAAGTAGCGACAATGTCGCAGATCGCAGCCCCCCAGGGACGGCGAGGTCCCGCTCAGATCCGCGCGGTGCCTCACTCCGCAGGACCCACCAGCAGCCCTCGGAATTGGCGACAATTTCGCAAATCCCCTGTCGTCGGCGAAGAGAGGGCAGGAGGAGGCGGGAGGCGGGAGAAGGGACGCGACCGCAGTGCTCTATTCAAAACGAATACCCAACCAAGGAGGGTTGGGAATAATCGAATTATCCTGGCGAAGGTCCCAACCATCCATATGCAGTTGTGGGTACCGTAACTGTGCATATCTGCTTCGGTGAAGCTCCCTCTGGGGCCACGAAGCGCTGCACTGGGCGGGGGGGAGCGCTGTGCTGTGTGGGTGGTGTGCCGAATTGGGGTTCCGGGACGCATGCTGACGGTCCCACTGGGGGCTTCGGTAGAGCCCCCTATGGGGCCACGAAGCGCTGCACTACGCGGGTGAAAATGCAAAAATATGTCCCGGACGCATACGGACGGTGGCACTGGGACCTTGGGTGGAGCCCCCTATGGGGCCACGAAGCGCTGCACTGGGTGGGTGAAAATGCCAAATTGGGCTTCCCGGACGTATGCGGACGCGGGCACTGGAGCCTTCGGTGGAGCTCCCGATGGGGCCACGAAACGCTGTACTGGGTGGGTGAAACGCAGGGAGGAGGGAGAGGAGGGCCACGAAACGCTGTACTGGGTGTGCGGGACGCATGCGGACGGTAGCGCTGGGACCTTCGGTGGAGCTCCCTATGGGGCCACGAAGCGTTGTACTGGGTGTGCGGGACGCATGCGGACGGTAGTATTGGGACCTTCGGTGGGGCTCCCTACGGGGCCACGAAGCGCTGTACTGGGTGGGTGAAACGCAGGGAGGAGGGGGAGGAGGGCCACGAAACGCTGTACCCGGTTGGTGAAACGCAGGGAGGAGGGGGAGGAGGGCGACGAAACTGTCTACTGAGTCTGCGGGACGCATGCGGACGGTAGCACTGGGACCTTCGGTGAAAGTCCCAATGGGGCAACGAAGCGCTGTACTGGGTGTGCGGGACGCATGCGGACGGTAGCACTGGGACCTTCGGTGGGGCTCCCTACGGGGCCACGAAGCGCTGTACTGGGTGGGTGAAACGCAGGGAGGAGGGGGAGGAGGGCCACGAAACGCTGTACTGGGTGTGCGGGACGCATGCGGACGGTAGCGCTGGGACCTTCGGCGGGGCTCCCTATGGGGCCACGAAGCGCTGTACTGGGTGGTTGAAAATGAAATGCAGGGAAGAGGGGGAGGAGGGCCACGAAAAGCTGCACTGGGTCTGCGGGACGCATGCGGGCGGTAGGGAGGAGGGGTGGTGCACGAGAGGAAGAGAACGCGGGGACCGTCTCTTCACAACGAGAACCCAACACCACAGGAGGGTTGGGAAATAATCACACAAATAATAAATTTATCCTGGCGAAGGACCCAACCATATGCAGTTGTGGGTACCGCAATTGTGAAAATCTTCTTCGGTGAAACTCCCTATGAGGCCACGAAGCGCTGCACTGGGTGGGGGGGAACGCTGTTCTGGGTGAGTGGTGTGTCAAGCAAGGTTTCCAGGACGCATGCGGACGGTCCCACTGGGGGCTTCGGTGGAGCTCCCTATGGGGCCACGAAATGCTGTACTGGGTAAGTGAAAATGCCAAATGGGGCTTCCGGGACGCATGCCGACGGTCCCACTGGAGGCTTCGGTGGAACTCCCTATGGGGCCACGAAGCGCTGTACTGCGTGGGTGAAACTGCCAATTTGGGCTTCCGGGACGTATGCGGACGGTCCCACTGGGGGCTTCCGAAACTCTGCACTGAGTGTGTGGGGACGCATGTGGACGGTAGAACTGTGATCTTCGGTGGGGCTCCCTATGGGGCCACGAAGCGCTGTACTGAGTGGGGGGGACGCATGCGGACGGTGGCACTGGGGCCTTCGGTGGAGCTCCCTATGGGGCCACGAAACGCTGTACTGAGGGGGGACGCATGTGGACGGTGGCACTGGGGCCTTCGGTGGAGCTCCCTATGGGGCCACGAAACGCTGTACTGAGTGGGGGGACGCATGTGGACGGTGGCACTGGGGCCTTCGGTGGAGCTCCCTATGGGGCCACGAAACGCTGCACTGAGTGGGGGGACGCATGTGGACGGTGGCACTGGGGACCTTCGGTGGAGCTCCTTATGGGGCCACGAAACGCTGTACTGGGTGGGGCGGGGCGCTGTGGGCGGTGGTACTGGCCTTCGGTGGAGCTCCCTATGGGGCCACGAGACGCTGCACTGAGTGGGGGAGGGGACGCATGTGGACGGTGGCACTGGGGCCTTCG